TCTAGAGAAATTTAGTTTAGGCAAGCCAATAACTAACTTATGCTTGGAAAGTTTTTCTATCAAATGCATGCTTGCATGACCAAGTTTCTTATGCCATAACCATGGATCATCAGATATGGATGTTAAACAGATATGACCATCTATATTTTCAAATTCATCAAGAATGTAGACATTTCCATACCTTTTACCTGGAAGGATTATTTTACCTGTCTCATCTTCAATAGCACAACCTGTCTTCTTTAACTTTACTTCATACCCTGAGTCGCATAGCTGACTTATACTCAGAAGATTGTAGTTAAGTCCGTCAACAAGGTAGACCTTAGTGATATCACAGTTATTATTGAAAGGGACTATTCCGGTACCGACTATTTTTCCTTTTGAATCATCACCGAACTTAACACTTCCTCCATCTATTTTTGAAACTTCTTTAAACAGGTTTTTGTCACCTGTCATGTGACTGGAACACGCACTATCTTAGTACCATTTTTCTTTGCGACTCCTCCTGTGGTGTTCCTGCAAAACATAGTGATTACTTTATTTTAGGTACCCAAGCTTGCTTGGGTCCTTGTTGGTTAGTATTACTCGACTCAGAATTATTTTTGGGTTTCCAAATCCAACATGAAACATTCGATTTGCGAAATCGACAAAAAGAATATTTGTGTCCACTTTTGTTACAGTAGTGATAAGTAACTCCTGATCCATTTTTGGATCTTTCATTAGTGTTAGCACTGGTGGACTCTGTTCTGGATGATCCTTCTCCAGTTGACTTGTAAGTCGCCTGGTTTGACCTGACAGAACTGTGACTGGTGGATTTGCGCATGCCAATGAGTTGTATTTGCAATTCCTCAAACTCTTCTTGAAGTACTTCTTTTTCAATTTCACATACTTCATGTTTGAGTTTTCAGTCTTTTACTTCTTTGTTGAGTCTCTTTAGTTCATTCATCATTTTTTGAGACTCTTTCAAAGTAAGGCCAAGAATATCCTGCAATTCATTACACCTTTCACAGTTATAAGACCTTACCTCGCTTGTTTCACCTCGTGCCACGAAACAGTTCTCATTGTCATCTTTGCATTCATCGTCTGAAGTGTCCTCATCTGTCCAGCATCCTGAAAGTTTGTTCATGTCGTTTTCCAGAATTGTCATGAAGCAAAGATTTGCTATCTCTTCGTGTCCTGAACTGTCTTCATCACTCCACCTTCCAAATAATTTGTTCTTGTTGAAGCCTCTGGAGATTTTCCTTTTTAGTTCAGGACATTCAGCTTGAACATGTCCAAATCTTCCACACTCACAGCATTTTCCATCATTTTTGTCTTGTTCATTGTATTGCCTAGATCGCCTGGGTGGCATCCTTCTTCTCGCATTCCTGAATCTTCTCATTAAACCATCCATGTTCCTTGAAACCATGGCAATCTCTTCTTGAAGAGCTTCAGGGTCATCATCGATATCATTTTCTGCTTTTTCGGTTGTGGCCTTGAATGCAACTATTTTCTTCTTTTTTTCCTGGTTTGCTTTCTTGAGATGAGTTTTCTCGAATGCTATGAGTTGTCCTCAAAGTTCATCATATGATAGCTTATTCAGATTCTGTGATTCAAGCGTAACTACTTTTGTCTGCCAAGTAGTGGGTAGGCTCCTGAGAATCTTCCTAACTTGATCACCACTTGAGTATGGTTTGCAAAAAGCTTTTAGATCGCTAATGATTTTGCTGAGTCTGGCAAACATCTCTTCAATGGATTCTCCTTCTTTCATCTGAAAGAGTTCATAATCATGAACCAACATGTTGATATGTGTGTCCTTTACTTTGCTGGTTCCTTCATACGTAACTTCAAGTTTGTCCCACATCTCTTTGGCTGTATCGCAACTGGAGATTTTCTTGTACTCTTCACCACTTATAGCATTGTAGAGTAAATTCCTTGCCTTATTGTTAACTTGTACAACTGCCATTTGCTCATCTGTATATGAATCTATATCTTCAGGTTCAGTGAGTGGTTGAGCGACAGCTGGTAGAGGATAGTTCCCCATTTTGATAACTCTCCAAACTTTAATATCATAGGCTTTTGCGTATATTTCCATACGCACTTTTCAGTGAGAGAAATGTTCACTACAAGAAAATGGGGTTATTACGGCGGTTATTTTAGCATATACTGGCGGTTTGAAACCGCCATAATACACATTAACGGCGGCTTTTTAAAGCGCCACAATCCCGCCCGCCAAAATTATATTATGGCGTTTACAGGCAAACCGCCGTAAGTACATGTGAAAACCGCCGTATTTTAACAGTTTTAATGTGGCTTTTATTTCTGCATATTAAGGCGGTTTTAAACCGTCGTAATGAGTTTTTTTTCTACTTCAGCCTTTTCACAATCCATTTTTTCACATTTAGAGTCCTATTTATTGAATGCTATGCTTTGAAACTTCTGTAGCACTTCATAATTAATTAAACCCAATATAGAAGATTAAATAAGAAAAATATTCATTATATAAAACACAAGTGTATCAAAATTACATCATCCAAATATTAATGCTTCAAAGTGTATTTCAACAGTAATATCCAAAAGATTCATAGTTGATCCAATAAAATAATCACAAATTCACACTTACACAATTATACCAAAATTACATCATCCAAATATTAATGCTTCAAATTGTATTTCCACAGTAATATCCAAAAGATCCATAGTTGATCCTATAAAATAATCACTAATTCACACTTGGACGATCATCATTGTTACTTTCATCTAAAGATCTTCTTGGTTCAACTGTTGATGGTGCATCACATCCTAAATCTGGTGCCTGAAAAAAAGGAAGAAAAAATACAATCAATAAGCAAATAACTAAAATTTTAACAGGTAAGCTGAAGTAGTAGGACTGGATATACAGAAATCACATTGAAATCAATGAGTTTAATCACCAAAAAGGTAACTACACGGCTTAGGAAACCACTTTATGTTAAAAAGGAACCATATGAAAAGCAAGTAACTACAATTTTACTGTAGTAAGAGAACTTATACCTGTGGAGGAGTGGAAAATAAGTGAGCAAAATCCTCGGGAATATTCCCTATGTTCCTTTCATATAAGCTAATTAGTGCATCTAATTTTGATTTCACATTTGTCATCTCTTGCTGCCACGCCGGAGTTGGAGCGGTAGTGCTAGATGAATCCACATAACCACGACGGTATCTCGCAGATGTCTGTTTGAATGCTACAGTTGGGACTACACCCAAGCCTAAACCTCGAACACGACCGGGGTGCTCGGGACCGAATACTATGCCAAGAGCATCATTTGGTGAAGGTTCATCAAGACTTTCTACTCTTTCACTTCGAATTTCTTCAATTCTTTCCTACAAAAATTGAAGAAGCATAAACTGAGCAATATGAAGGTGCTTGGAACTTGGAAATGACAAGAATTGTATATTAAAATAGGCAGGAGAATTCAGACACAATCTTAAGTCAAGTATAAAACAAGTGTAAGCACAACTGCAGCCAACCAACAGGGAATTAATATAAGCGGCTGATCATCTGTTTTTACCATTTAAAAACTTTGTTTATTCATCCCATTCATGAACTAATAAAGAAATAATCTATTCCACCTTTAGAAGCAGCACATTTTTTTAGCTGCACAGTTCAATAAACATGTTTCATGACATGATCATACAACCCTCCGGACCAACTCTTAAGGTACAGTAAGCATTCAATGAAAGAAACAGGGATATTCTAGTATCAACTTTCCAAGGATCAATCTGTGTAAATGAGCTTTCTTGTAGGCTCACCAACTCATATGTGGTATTCTTTTAAGACAACTGTGCAGGAATTATTGACAAGCACAAACATGTAAAAGCATGACGACAGATAAAGATGAAGAACAGAAAATGAAACGCAATAAAAAAATGCATACTATAAGTACATGAACATGTTGTATCGTCTTTAATCTCCATATATGTTAAATAATCAAAATTCAAACAACACAAATTCTTCAATTTCAATTACTTAAGGTGCTTATCTTAATATGTGGGATCGGCCTTTATGTTGGATATGTCATTAAAATATCTATCTTTGACCTGATTAAAACCAATACAAATCACATCCACATGGTTTTACAAAAAGAAAGACACAGATTCATGCTCATAACTCCTGAATGGAATAGAAAGCTAAATCAAGAAGACAGAGATAAAAATGTACAAATACTCATTATAAAGGTAAAATTGATTATGAAATGCAGGAGGACCAATTCCAGCATTTTTAAGCAGAGAGGCAGCATTATAGTTAAAAAGACCATACAGCTGCATCTGGTAAAACAATCTTAACAACTCTTCCCCTCTTTATAATCACTACACTGATTCTGCCACAAAAGAAATAGCAGAAGCATAATAGCTTCAATTTCAACCAAATTTTAAACAAAAAAGTAAAGAGGAATCTGAAATCGCTCGCATAAAACGTCATATCCAAAAAAAGTCCATTTCTAACATGCTTCGACATCGACAGTGATTGTGGAAACCCACTAGACAAGCAATACCAATCTAAAAATAAAATATAATTATACAGCAGAAGGCACCAAAAATGTTACTTACCCCAATCACCCTAGCCTCATCAGTTACATAACTCTCATCTTTCCTTTTATGAGTCTCAGTCCACATTTTGCCTCGATCAAAAGCTTTTCCCATCGCCTTCTGAAATTTTTAAAATGAATAAAAATTATGCTCCTCTTTCTCCACTGTCTTGATCTATCTTCATTAACGGTTTGTCTTCGAGCTCTTTTACCTTTATCATTCAAAACAGGTGCTTTCCCAAAATTGACATTAATGCCCTCCACTTGCTTCAAGATGTCTGAGCCTGATAATGCAATTGGTAGCTCCCGTTGCTCGATTTTCCCGTTAAAACGAGCACGTTGCAATCTAAACCGATGACCTCTTTCAAGAAAGTGACGATGACCCATAAAACACCACTTTCTACTATGCTTCAATCTGCAAGAGTCTATATCAAAGTTACACGTGGGGCACGCAAACTAAGTGTATGTATTCCATCCAGATAATGTACCAAGCCCAGAAAAATCACTAATTGTCCACATCAATGCTGCTCGCATTTTAAATATTTCATTCTTTGAAGAATCTAATGTATGCACTCCATCGTACCACAATTCCCTCAACTCTTGGATGAGAGGTTGTAAATACACATCTATGTCATTGCCCGGCATTTGTTTCCCTGGAATGATCGTTGAGAGTATGAATGAAGTTTGTTTCATGCACTCCCAAGGAGGACGGTTGTATGGAATAAGTACCACTGGCCAGATACTATAGTTAGTTTCCATTGCTCCAAAAGGATTGAAACCGTCACTAGCTAGGCCTAGCCGTACATTTCGAGGATCTGCAGCAAATTCAGGATGAAGCAAGTCAAAAGTTTTCCAAGCCTAAGAATCCCTAGGATGCCTCATCAATCCATCTTGGCTACCCTCTAAAGAATGCCATCTCATAGACTCTGCAGTTTTAGAGCACATGAACAATCTTTGCAACCTTGGCTTTAGTGGAACGTAGCGCAATATCTTTGCAGGCTGCTTCTTCTTATTATCCTTCCACCTAGATGACTTGCATCTTTTGCATTCTTGCAAGCCTTCATTTTCGCCAAAATATAACATACAATCATTTGGGCAGGCATGTATCTTGGTATAATTAAGACCAAGTTTGTTGATGGTTTTCTTGGCCTCATAAAAAGAACCAGGAATCTTGGCATCAAAGGCATCTTTTAACAATTCTAATATCATACTCATCGCCTTGTCAGTCATTCGACAAAGACACTTTATATGATACATTTTGATTAGAAAGGACAATTTGGAATACTTCGTACACCCTTCGTATAATGGTTGATTGCCATCTTCGACCAATTCATAAAACTTTATATAATCTTCATTATGCCCCTCAACGTGCCCTTCATCAAATATTTCTTCTCTATTTATGTGATTAGAAGACACACCAGGCTCGTTGACATTGTTCCTGGTGAACCCAAACGCATCATTAATCATAACTTCCATTGGATCTTGGTGCTGTAAATTATATTCTATGATATGGGTGCTCTGAGAAGTCTGTTGCACGGTTGCATTTGATTCTTCACCATGCCAATACCAAAAATTATAGTTTTTTGGGAAAGGTTTAAGAATCAGGTGCTCTTCAACTACATCTCTTCTTTGCCACTTGTTAAAATCACATTTTGGACAGGGACACTTAATTACGCGCCCATCAACTGACCCGTGCTCAAAAGCAAAATCCAAAAATTGTCTTAGACCATCTGCATATTCAGGTGTGTTTCGTGGTTTGCTAATCCAAGATTTATCACTTGGCATGGCTAGAAAGGAAGACATAAGATAACATCACAATATTAAAACTGAAAAGATAGTTCAAAAGCTTATATGTGAAAAACATAACCTCTGAATATATCCACTTAATTTGAAAAGCCATTGCCAACTTAATTAACATGAAAAGTCACATCACTTCTGCATTAATTAATTATGAACGCAAACTCATATTGTAATCTCTCCAAATATGTAGTAACTTGCTCATACACAGATGTTATACAGCTTAGCTGAGTATGGAAACTCTTCCGACTAGATACGATAATAATTCCTATTTTGCAATTACCTTACTGGTATTCCTACTTTGCACATGAAAGTGAAGGATTAAAAGGTGAGAACTTTACAATCTGGAAGTCTTCTCTTTCATTATTTTTCATGCCATACGAATCTCATTTCATGTGTTTGCTAGAATATTCCCTAACCCAAAGCTCAAGACATGAAAATTCTTGAACATGTGTTCAAGCCAAGTATAAATCCCCCAGAATAAGCAACTGAAAAGAGCCACCAAAGAGTTCAACCGGAATTTCCTCTCTTATTAAAAAGTACCCTTATGCTTTACAATAGGCGCTAAGATATCCTAAAGGAGAAAGAATAACAAAAAGGCAACAAAAGCTTCATTGCCACAGCTTGTAAAGTACTGCCTCTATATTGCTAACATACTGATTGTCAAAACAAAGATAAGCCTAAAACTTTTAGCAAAGAGATCCTTATTTAGCGTAAAACATAGTTTTCATCCTTATTATCAAAACTAGCATAAAACCTAAAGTAATTCATCCTTATTATCAAAATCAGACAAATAAATTCTTTCCAACAAAATTCAACACACGCACGAATTTGCATTGCACAAGTTGAAACTGTAGAACCCCAACTTACACCTTACTGGAACATGCTTGAATATAGAAACAATATTGCATGAATTTTGTGATAACAGAAGAAAACCAATAAGCAGCTCTTTGGATCTTTCCTTTTCTTTATTTTATAGAGAGTAAGGATAATAAACTCAAACTTTTAATTCCTCTTCACATTTTCAAACACATCATAGCATTTCAGCAATACAAAAAAAAAATGAAAATGGCTACCAATCAAGGAATGAAACAGAGGAAGCATGAACAATTCCATACAATTCTCATCCAAGAAAATCTGAAATTTATATTATTCGACCAACTGTAGTACCTGATTTCAACAGAATATCGAGCTCAGCAAAACAGAAGTTGCAACAGAAAATTACTTGAACCTCAGACAGCAAACTCGACGGGTCGGCTCAAAGAAAACTGGAATAACTTATTGCTTCAGATCTTCGAGTTCCTCTTTTTGTTTGTTGCTATTTGCTTATGTGAGAGTGAGAAGCAAATGACAGGGTTATCCTAAATGAGAAAGAATAACAAAAAGGCAACAAAAGCTTCACTACCACAGCTTGGATGTTATATATTTAATCGATTGAATGAATCATAGATTATCAGACTGAGGAAAAAAAATTAGAACAAAATTGGGGAAAATCGCTACATGCATGAACCCTAATAAATAGGAAAAAAACTTTTGGTACTAAATATGAACCCTAATCGCTACATTACCTGAGATTGTTGAAGCTGCTAAATGAATTTCATGTACTTTTTCTAATTGAATCTCGATTCTTCTAGCCGGAGAAACAGATTGGGAGAAATAGAAGAATCTGAAGTTAGAATGCATTACCTCACCTGCAATCTGAAGTTTTACATTCCAGCAGCCTTCAATAAGAATGAATCGGGGGAAAGGAATTGGGGCAAATAGAAATTGGGGTAAAGATATACGAGACTTATGGAGGGAAAGGATTGGGGAAATTCTGGAGGGAGTCTCGAAATGTGAGGGGGGAAATACTAAAACTTATTAAAGGAATAGTTAAAATATTTTGATTAAAAGATTACGGCGTTTCTAACCGCCACAATACGAAATAATCGCCGCTATAAAAAAATTTAATCCGGCGACCCGTAAAACGCCATTTTTAATTACACTTTGTGGCAGTTATTTGGAATCGCCGTAATATAACCGCCACAATAATTTCGATTTTTTGTAGTGGTAAAACATGAAAATCATATAAATCACAGTTTGTCCAAAGTTAATTCAAGCCAAGTTTTAAGTTAATAAAGCGACCGTGCTAGAATCAAGGGACTCGGTGAATGCCTTACACCTTCTCCCCGGTCAACAGAATTCCTTATCAGGACTTTATTTTCGCAGACCAATAATAATAGAGTCAAATCTTCTTTTGACTAGGGATTCAAATAAAAGGTGACTTGGAACACCCAAAAGAAATTCCAAGTGGCGACTCTATACATAAAATAATCCTTACTCAAATTTGTCACTTTAATTGGAAAAACCCTTTAACTCACAATCCATAACACGCTTATCTTCCTTTGGGGGTAGAAAAGGGGTGTGACATTCTTCATACTATTGACCCTCATTCTCAGCAAATCCATGTTGTTAATATACGTTAAACTCCTTAATAGCCTTTAATCACTTTAAAATTTCTTGGGGTGTTACATTTTTAGTAGTGTACATAACCCATAAATAGCAGATTTGTAGGAATCTCTTTTTAGAGCAACTTAGTTTCTATTCAACAACTTTATCATGTTTCCCTCTCCAAAACATCGTTCAGAGTTAAAACTGCCTTTTTTGTTACATGGAGAATGTTGTTTCTATCTTGACATTACTTCACTTGAAAATCATTGAGCGAAGCTGAAATATCTGTAGCAAGAGCATACACTGCAGCAGCAATCATACCTTCCAATTCCTCTTCCTATTTCTATATATGCATGAGTTTTTCTTCCTTGAAATTTTGATCTTTCTCCTCATTGAGTTACGCAAATAGTGGGCATTTGCTGCCTCTGTGCTCTGAACTATCTTAGAGAAAACACTACTTTCACTCTCATGGAGTATCCTAGCTACATTTGCTTTCTTTGCTAATTAATCTTAATGCTTTAGGTGTTTAGAGGTGCTTGTTCCAATTGTAGTTTATTCAATTCTCATGCCTTAGACATATTGCATCTTCTCTAGACACTATCTACCATATTAGCATTTGTTTAAAAAGGCTTGGAAGTAAAGATTGATTGATAAGTTGATGGATATATGACATGCTAAATAGTAAAATTAAAGTTGCTCAGGTGTGCAAGTATATATTAGTGTCCTCAATGGAAATGTATCATCAGTGTAGTATAGACAAATAATCGAGTCAATTACTCAAATGCACTCAACTTTCTCAAATTATCTCCTAAAGTCACTTTTCTTCCGTTTGTAACAACAAAGTCACTGAACTATGCCTATTGCACTCAGAAGGTCACTCAACTAGATTTTTCAAATTTTGGATTGCCAAATACCTATTTTACCCTCTGGGCTTACCTATAGAATAAATAAATACTATTTATAAATTAAAAAAATAAGAAGTATTTAAGCATCTATAATGTTGGAATAACAAAATAATGAGCATAGTAAAAAAATTAATTAGAATAAGTTGTTCGTAATAATAATTGTAGTATTAACAACAAAAATTCAAAAATTTATTTATACAATTCAGAATGAANATATGTTAGGCATAGTTTTAAATTTGTAAAATTCTAATACATTTGTAACAAACCTTTCGGGGAAACCAATCAATGAAGTCTTTATTAACTATCTTCTCAATCTCCGTACTACTAGGCTTTCGACCCTTCCAGCGCCTTCGTACATGATCTTTAAATTCACTACATGAAATGATGATACAAATATTAATCATTATACATATTTAATATAAGTTTTATTTAGATTTGCATTAAATACTCACTCAATGAACGGCATGACTTGTGGACAATTTAGTACCACATATCGATGTGCTTCACGTTTCACTATAGGTGACAACTCAAATGTTTCTGTTGCTATTCCTTTACCAACCGGTGGAAAAATGCTAGATGAATTTGTCGAGCCTCTATCCTCCGGATAATCATCAACACGACGAGGCCTATTAATTCTTGTCTCAATCCCTTCAAAATACTGAGAATAGAAAGTGAGAGCCTCTTCAGCCAGGTATCCCTCGGCTATAGAACCTTCTGGTTGTGACATGTTCCGCACATAGGACTTAAAATGTCCCAAATACCTAAACAAAAGATCAATGGTTAGTTAACGGTTACAATTTAACATCTTTGTCTTAAAGAATAAACTACAATTAAGCAATGAGAAATCTCTTACCTCTCCACAGGATACATCCATCGACAATGTTGTGGTCCCCCAAGTTTTGATTCACCAGCTAGATGACAAGTTAAATGAACCATGATGGTAAAGAATGCTGGAGGGAATAATATTTCCAAGTGATTCATAGTGAGAAAATGTCGAGATTGAAGCCTGTCAAGGTCTATTGGACTTAAGCTTTTGGCACAGAGTTGTCGGAAGAACGAACTCAACTCTATTAGCACTGCAGTCACTTTGTCAGTTAAAATATTTCGTATGGCAATTGGTAACAAGTGCTGCATGAGAATGTGAAAATCATGACTCTTCATATTAAAGATCTTCCGTTGTTTCAAGTCGATACATCTCGAAATGTTGCTCGCATATCCATTAGGCATTTTGACATTCTTTAAGGTCCGCAAAAATATATCTTTCTTGAATCCACCTTTCTTTGTATTTAAAATAGTAAACAAAGATGGAGGATAGCTTCCGTTCTCATCTGCCCAAAGTTCCTTCCTTATACCCATTTCTCTAAGATCCTTCCTAGCTTTAATATTGTCTTTTGACTTTTCAGAATCATTGAGTAAAGTGTATATCACATTCTCACACTCATTCTTTTCAATGTGCATAAAGTCTAGATTATGACATAACAAGTTCGTTTCCCAGTAAGGAAGATCAAAAAATATGCTCCTCTTTCTCCACTGTCTTGATCTATCTTCATTAACGGTTTGTCTTCGAGCTCTTTTACCTTTATCATTCAAAACAGGTGCTTTCCCAAAATTGACATTAATGCCCTCCACTTGCTTCAAGATGTCTGAGCCTGA